TTAAAGTGTCCCTTAAAATAGGAGATTTTAAGGTCTAAATTTTTTTTACCTATATATATTTATACATTCAATACACTCAGTTAATATGTGATTTATTTATTTTCTATTATAAGTTTTATTTCGTGAAATATATCTTTACCGCCACCCATCATAATGTATATCGTGATATGAATTTTTTGCCATAACGCACGTTCCTAGTGTGCGCGCTGTGATACGGAAGCTTGGCGTAGTTTACTTGGAATCTGAAAATACATTTCCTTAAAGGTACTTAGAATCTGAAAAGGGCAGCACTGAGAAGTAGTACTGGGAGCTCAACAGATAGTTTCAGTTTCACTTTCAGTTTCACCGGGTTTTTGTTAATTGTTGCTGAGAGCCTGCAGGAGTCATGGGCAGGCCAGTGGGTGGAGGAAGGTGTGCTCTGTGATGAGAAAGCTCGGCTTGGAGACAGAGCCCAGAGGAGGGGCTGGTCCCAAAAGGTGGTTCTAGTCCCAACCAGTCATTCTGCTCCCCTGCCTGGCTGTCTCAGGACACTACAAGATTTCTCAAACATGCATGAATGAGCATGTTTTTGATGAGAGGATAACATTATAGCATGATATAAAACTCAAAAAAGTTTATTTTTCATGATATAGCCCCTTTAATGCTTAGTTTTAGTTTATTTTTTATTAGTCTTAGTATCTTTAATATAAATAAACCATATATAAAACTGAAAACCTGAAAAGGAAGAAACCGATACAAAGGATCGATGGTTGGATGGATTGATGGATGGATGGATGGATGGATGGATGGATGGATGGATGGATGGATGGATGGATGGATGAATGGATGGGAACAACCACCAGCCTATAAATGATACTTTTTTCTTTCTGGCTTCAGCTTCTTGAATTCCATACAAGGTTCAGTTTTCCGATGGTCGATGGTTAACACAACGTGTTGCAGGCTTCACTTCCCCACTTCTCATCTACTCGCCAACTCAGCTTTATGATTTCCTCCATCGATGGGTCAGAGGTGTAAACTTCAGTAAATATAACTACAGCACTCCCCACCTTTATTATTTTACTCAAGATGCTGATGTGTGAAGGAAACTCAAGCCTTAAAAGTGTTGTGTGAAGAGGTCTGAATGTTTCACTTCTGTCACTCCTGCCACTGTGTCTAATTTACAATAAAACCTATTGTGAGTAAGTAAAGTACAATAATACACGGTAATATAATGTATTGTGAAACTGACAAGACAAAAACAAAGACTGACCATTCTAATTTGTTGAGGGAGCACTTTAAACATATCAAAGTGTCAACTAACTTCAATTTTTTGACTTCCCATTAAGAGCTAGCTAGACAAGTAAAATCTAGTGTTAATGATAACTTTGGAAAATAGTGTTAACTCTGAGAGGGAAGTGATAAGGGACAGTAAATAATTATGTTCCCTTACCAACAGGACACCCTGTAAAAAAGCCTAAACATCATCAACTCTGGTTGATTTTTAAATGGGTAAACTTTTATTTCTGCTTAACTTTGAAAACACCTGTTAATGTAATCTGGGCTGCTACAAACATGAGGATACAACACAGTTTTTCCTCTGCTTGTTAAAGGAGATGCATCATGATACCATACACCTTGCAGCGTAATCTTTAAAAAGACAACAACATTTCACATGTGAAAATCACATGTAAAACATGGTTGATTACCAAGTAAAATGTGTTTAGCACATAATTCCTGTGTGATTTTGGAACAAACTGTATGCAATTTAAATGTAGAAAAATTTATTTTCACTTGTGACATGTTAAATTACTATGGAAAACAAGTTTTGTCAAAATGCACAATTTCCTCCTCAAATAGGTACTGAGCTGGTGAAAAATAGGATGTGGTTTTTGATGTTTATTTGCAGATTAATCAGTGCTGTGCTTTAAAAAAACTGGTGCTTACCATCACTACGGAGCACTAATGGAGTAGGTGGGCCTTGGACACGGGTTTTCGTGACGGTGTTGGTCACCACACAGGTGTAATTGCCAACATCTGAAGGCTCCACTTTAGCAATGTACAGATTTCCTGTCTCCTGTGAGATGAAGCGTCGAGTGTCTTGCTTCACAAATGTTGGAAACTCGTTGAAAATCCAAGAAAAGATCAGATCTGTGAATAAAGAAAATAAGACTTGTTCAGTTTTGATTTTTATGATGTAGTAACCCACTTTGTTCCTGGTTGTTTCAGTCTTTTCAATAGCTCCCTAATCTGATCAGGGTTAAATAAAAATGAGGTCAGTAAAAAAGGTTATCTACAACATGTAGGAGATTACTTGCTCATAACTTTTACACACAGTCCCATTTCAAAACATCTAAACTAACTTTTTATATATATTTTAAATTAGAAGCGTGGTTTTACAAAAGTAGAAATGATATTGATCTTGTGTTGTTTGGCCTGATTAAGGTCAACAGTAAAACGAGTATTTGACAACTTCCTTTTGTTCAAATGAGGGCTTAATTACTGCTCTGACCTAAATTACCATAAAAACAACAAATATGTCAAACGGAACGTGGGCGTTACGGTAAATGTTAACAGGTTTTAAAGAGCAATAATAACACAATCTGGCAGCAACCTAATTTTGTTGAAAGATTTTAACTAAAAAACAGTGGTAATTTGCATCTTTCAAACTGAGATTTTTATTAAATATAACAAAGCTCTTTGTACCAATGTTTTATCAGATAAACTGCATGGCCAAAAAAAAGTTGCCACTTAGATTTATGTGTGGGGTTGCTGCAGGTGGTCAGGTCTAGGTTCAGCAACAGTATGTGCTCAAAGAATGAGGTCAGCTGACTACCTGAATATACTGAATGGCCAGGTTATTCCATCAATGGATTTTTTCCCCTGAATTGTGAAAGAGTAGTTCAGGGAGCATGTGTAGGGGTCACCTCGAGTGAAGAAACAAGATTTACTGCCTCGAAGCAGGCCTCGGACAGGCCTGAAGAGAGGACAGGAACTCTGTCACAAACTGAACTCTATTTAGGCCATGACAGGTCATTCCAACCGTGGAAGAGAACTCCTCAGTTCTCTTAATCAGATAATGGACAGAACAATCTCTTCTCTTCGTGATTCATTTGTTGTTTAACTAAGAKTGTTTATGCATTTGTTAAATCATGATAGTGACTGTCACAGGAAAAGTGGAACCACTTCTTCATGTTCAAAAGTTGAATTACTGGGGTTGGAATTTCAGAAAAGTACATACACTTGAGTTTGTGTTGATATATATTTTTTTAAATACAGTGAACAGTTATTTTTTATTGATCATTTAATTGATTAGTGACTAGTCAAGAGGAGGGGAGCTGTGGTGGAAATAATACTTTTAGGTTTAAGCCAGTAATTCATGACATACTTTAATGACCTAGGTTTTCATGACATGCTGTTCATCTGCAGATAGAATGATTAAAGTCAGAACAAGATTTGCTAACAACAGTCATTCTTAGATATCACTTGTGTTTATTTTTGTGTTTTCCCTTGATCTTGTATCAAATCTTGCTAAGATGACATAATGGTGTTTGTTAATATATGAGCCCTCTCGAGTGAGTGGAGAGACAGTGGAGTGACAGAGAGAGGCAGAGGCACAGAGAAAGGGCAGGTTGTTCTCTGTGTTTCCTGTTGCAATAAAACTCAGCTGATCATCCCATGGAGTACCTTCATTCTTGGACCACGTATTTCTGTCTTTGTTAAATAAATATTGCCATAACAGTTGTAAAAATCCTTATAGGCAAAAAAATATTTTACTGTTGGAGAGCCTGTTAAATATCCTTTGAAATGGTGCCACATTTCTAAGGAATATGCAATTGTGGAATGAGCATTAGAGCTGAGTATGTGGGTGGCACACAAAAATTTGCCTAATTCTCTTTGTCAATGTCAAACAGTTTATTCTACCATTGACTATTTTGGTGTTTAGTGGACTGGATGATTGAAGTTTGAAGAAACAAGTCACATCTGCAATTTAACAATGTATTCATTTAACAAACAGGAGCCACAATAAACATGTGGAAGAACCATACACAGCCGCAACAGCCTGGTCCATTACTGAATGGCATCCCTTTCTTCATATTTGCGTATATGCATATTTGTCGCAATTCAGCAAATTACCTCCAAGGACAAGCCACAATTTTTCAGGGAGGGATATTCTGACCCKACTATCACACTGCTTCCACCAAAATATGTTACTCTATCTGTGAAGCAATCATCTTAGCATTCTCTGCATCTACTCCACACCTTCCATGCTATAATCCAACTGCTGTCTAAGTCTGGACTCATTCCTGCACATAACATTCCTCCACATGTACAGGATACAGTGRATGTCTTGCCAACACCAGCGCAAATAGGCCTGATGGTAAAAGGCAGTCATGGTAGGCCTCCTGGTTGCCTGATTAGACTGTAGATTTGCTGCATGCACTCTGTTCCAGATTGTCTGGACAGAGAATCATCAACTATACCATTTTGCAAACCTTGACCTCAAATTTGTAGAAGTGCTGACAGAATGAGTAAATGATCTTCTTGAGGTGTCAGCTTGTTGGGATGCCCACTTTGCGGCCTATCTCTGACATTCCCCATTAAATTTAACTTGGCCTTTAATTTGGAGAAGGTACTAGGGATCACTCCAAATAACGCTGCAACTTGGTTTTGCTGTAGCAGGGCCCACACTCACAGGTGCTGCCAAAACCTCAAAACAAGTGTCAACAGCAACAGCAAAATGAGCTGTTTGGCAATGGCAGAGAAGATTTGGCAAAATTTTCATGTGTGGACCCAAAAACTTGATGTGATACTTTAGCATCGACTTTTCACATTTTTTAAGCTGCTGTACTCCAGTTTTATACTTTTTAAAATTTATATTAAAGCTGGATATTTACTGTCACACTGAGTAGCAGAGGGGATTATGTTACTAAAATACAGTGGCACAACCGGTTTCAAGGTTTGATAAATCACACTGTGGGTGTAAAATGATTACTGTATATCTGCATATCCTCCACCCAGTATTTTACGTGATCTGCTTATCATCATACCAACTGCATATTCATGAAGGCAGACACCCTGAATGGGTTGTGGCTGCTGTTTTGCTCATTTGACAGACACAGTCCTCACCATTAATAAATCAACTTTGTACATGGATTTATGTATAGTAATCTTTTATAAATGAGGCAGATCGAGTGTGAATGACTTTCAGCTACTAGCAAATCAAATGTTAGCCTA